TTGTGTTTATTTTTGTTACAGAACAAGAGGTCCGAGGGAGGGGCAATACAATATTCGGCCCACCTAGGGATGCCCAAAACTGCTATACAACAGGGGCCCCTCCCAAAAACAAAATACTAAAATCTACTGGGCCCTTCTGTCCGCCGCCAATTGGAAAGACATCTCTTAATGCCAGAGATTTGTGAAAAGGAAACAAAATGTTTATTTAATGCTATTCAGGCCTAATGCCACCACTAAAATATCAAAGTCCTTTAGGGTATACACCTACACCCACACAGCGCTCCCTTCTCCCACTGTCCCAACTCCAGGTACCGTAAATCAGGAAAAGAGCACACGTCTGTATTGCAGGCTGCTGGCACCGTCAGCTGTGTCACTGTGCAGGATCTCGAGTTAATCCAAAGTACTGTGGTACCCTCTCATGGTCCACTGGCAAGAGTCCTTTGTACCCAGTTCCAGTCAAAGTCTCTCTTGCTTTTTCAGGCCCCGCAGCCAAAGGGGGCACCCCAAAGCCACGTTGGCCTCTTCTACCAAAGCTGCAGGAGTCCGCACTCCACCAAAAGCATGTGGCTGTCTTCTTCACCTGGCTGCAGGGATCTCCATTCTGGCAAAGCTGCGTGGTTCTTCCCTTTCACCTGGGAAAGAGGGGGTCCGCACCGTGCCAAAACCACGTGGCTCCCTCTTTCACCTCACCAAGAGGGGGTCCTCACTCTGCTGAAACCGCATGGCTCTCTCTCATCTGGCCAAGCGGGGACCCTTCATGTCCTGGAGCCAGTCTTTTCCAAGCTCCCACGCAGGCCATCTCACTCAGAAGCGCAGTCCCTAGTTTCCATCCTGGTCCCAGCTACACCCGTCTCCCTCTGGAGAGCAGCCCCCTAGTTCCATCTTGAGTCCCTAGCTACTCCCTTCTTCCTCGGCCCCAAACTTGGCCACTGCTGTTTAACATATCTATGAAACCAGTTAAAGGTTATAGATATGTTAAATAATCATTCCAGAGGTTAGCTCCAAAACTGTTGCTATGCAAAACAGCTCTCAATGGCCTGGCTCCATTCGTTCCCTCCCCCTGGTGGGGGGGGTGAGGACATCCTATATGTCTCTCCAATATTCCTATACACTTTGAATTCTGGACACCTTTCTAAATCTTTTTTTTGCCCCCCCGCCCCCGGCTGCACCCTGTATCATTTTCACCTGCGTTTATTACTTTTGGATTTTTTTTAAAGTCTGAGCTTTGCCACTCAAAAACATCTTAGCCTAGGGAAATGCTTATTGGTGAAAAAAACAAACAGTAATTTTGTAGTGTAGGCAAATAAAGATCTTGAGTTTGTCTTAAACGCACTCACAAAGCAGGAGGTGAATAACATTTTTGTAGACTGATTTTCATCAGTGTCGGTTACAGGGAGAGACAAAAGGTTTACTTCTAGAGCTATTTTGGTTACCTAGGAAATTCACTTGGGTAGAACAATGGACATTCTTTTCACTGTTTGCGGGTGAGGTCGTGGGTCTTGTGTTACTGCTCTTTGAGAGGTGGCTCAGTTAACGATATTGTCCCTGTGTGTGACAGATGACCCCCACTAGCATATTAGATAAAGCATCTCTAGACAGTGGACTCAGCTTGCTTTAATAATGAAAAACATTTTTGCACTGGGAGCCAAGAGCTTGTAGTTAAGCCTGCGGAGCCGGACACAAGCTTGTGCTGGAAATTCTTAAAACACTCCCTCCCCTGTAAAGACACCCCGACCCCATTTACAATGCGTCTTCGTGAACGGTTATGTTTCCTATGTGGACCATCAGCAAAGGGCCGCCCTGACCCTTTCACTTTGAATCAAGCAGCTCTCAATGTTGTTTCAGACCCTGCCATGTTGGATTATGTCGGTTGCCAGTCTTTCTGATCCAATGGAAGGTTAAGTGTACGTGAATAAATTACCTGTCAGTTACAGTGAATTCCGCCCCAGAGCCCCATTAGCATGAGGCTTGGCATCCTCCAGAATTCTGTTTCATTTTGTGCATCTTCCCTTTTCATAAATTCTGTTGCTACAGATGCAAGCACAAAAGCACATCTTCATTAAGCATTTCTTTGGAATTTACTTACAGTATCAAGCAGATAAAAGAACATCAAATTTCAACTCTACAGAGGGCAAACAGCAACATTCAGAGTCTGTTCCCTGCTGTCCAGCTCAGACATCCAAACTGTGACAGGGAGGTGGGCTTCTCCCAGTGAGCAGTTTCCAGCGTCCCTTGGAAACATGTCTGGGGGCTTAATGATCTCAGTAAGTCTTGCTCCTTAAACAGGGGACTGAACTAACATCCCACAGCATCCACCTCTCCTCATCCCTCTCTGCAGAGCCCCAGCTACCTCATCCTGCAGGGTAGGGGGGAGAGGGTAGGAGGCTGAAAACAGGTCTCATGAACCTTTGCTCAGATCAACCCCTTAGCCTGCTCCTGTTTCTATTGCGGAGATGACGTGCTAATTCACTTTTTAAATCTTTCCAGAGACCTGGGTGTCATTCCCCTTTACCCTAATCTAATCTACTAACTCTATTATAAAGTCCTGTCTGCTTCTGAAATTTGTCTTGAATTCACTCACTTCTCAATTATTCACTGCTGTTGCATTGGTCCTGGACACAGTCATCCTTTGATCCCTGCAGGGGGTTCGTCCCAGAACCCTCAAAGATACCCAAATTCAAGGATGCCTAGGTGTCTTATATAAAATTGTATTTGCATATAACCTACATACATCTTCCCATATACTTTAACTCATCTCTAGATTACTTATAAAATCTAATATAATGTAAGTGATCTGTTAATAGTTATTACACTGTACTGTGTAGGGAATAATGCCAAGGAAGAACCTGTAGGTGTTCATTACACAGACGCCATCGTAGGCCTTAGCTACATAGTGCATATCCGCAGCAAGGTAACTTTTTTTCTCTGACTATTTTCAACCCCTGGTTGGCTGAATCTGCAGATGTGGAACCATGGATGCAGATGGGTTCAGAGTGGTCTTAGGGAAACTGAACTTGATCGTATCTTTGCCTTGCTCATAACCTTGATGCTGCCCTTGGTGTAAAGTACGAAATCCTTAAGCATCCTGAGCCCACAGTATCTGACTCTTCCCACCATTTCTAGCATTTTTAACCAATGTCCTTATTACACTTTCTCACGGGTTCCAGAAGGCAGAAAGCGCTTGACCTCTGCCTACAGTGTCGCTTTCCCTCGGACTTCAGGTGACTCTTCAGTGTGGCCTGTGTGTTCAGATACGTGCCCCCCCACCAGACCTTTAGTTGTGCGTGTGCCCACACTGGCCTCACGGGTCACGTGTGCCCACGGGGCCTGGTAGCAGGCAGCCTGGCATATCTTAGGTGTCCTTAATTGCTAAACAAATGACTGAGAGCTGCTGTCCTAGCTCTGTGATTAAAATTGCTCTAGTATTTTGTTCCACACACCATGAAGAAAGCTAAAACAGAAATGAGCCCTGGCTGGTGTGGCCCAGTAGATTGAGTGCCAGCCTGAGAACCAAAGGGGCGCTGGTTCTATTCCCAGTCAGGGCACATGCCTGGGTTGCGGGCCAGGTCCCCAGTAGGGGGCGTGAGAGAGGCAACCACACATTGATGTTTCTCCCCCTCGGTTTCTCCCTCCCATCCCCTCTCTCTAAAAATAAATAAATAAAATCTTAAAAAATAAAAATAAAAAAGAAACGAAATACAGTAGAACCTCGATTCTCAAACTTAATTCATCCACAAGGCTATTTGAGAACCATTGTTCCCGATGGCAGTCATTTGGGACCCAGGGTTTGACTGCCGTTTGTCCTGCATGGCACAGCAAGCCAGACCGTGCGGCCAGAGCCTGGTGCCGCCTCCTGGAGGGATGGTTTAGACACTAACATTTTTTCCGTTTTTATTCATTATTATTATTTTTCTTTGGTTTCGTATGTTTTGTCTTTTATTTTGTTGGATACTATTTCATGGCTTAGGAACCTGGTTCTTGAACGGCGCTCGAGTGTGAGATGCATACCTCGCTCTGGCCTTCCTTTATTCGGGACTAAACATCCTAGAATTTAGAGCAGTGTCTTGTCCCTTGATGAAGTCCCCCTTTAGCCCATGGTGACACTGATTCGGCTTTGGGTTTGGCCTTGCCCTTCAGCAGTGGTGGAGAGTAGAGCAGTGTCGCCAAGTAAAGGTGCGGCTTAGGGTAAAATGCAGAATGCCGTATCTGGACTGGGCCCTTGCCTACCCTCCCTTCTGAAAGCTCTCCCCGACCACAGCTTATTTGCCACCTGCAAGGAGGGCGGCTGTAGCAGGTGCAGAATCCTCAGAGTTTCATCCCCTGAGAGTAGGTGAGTCCACCAACCACCTCAAGCGGACCCGCAGTCTTCTTCCCTCATGATGTTTTAAAATTCTTGTTAGTGCCAACATTTAAAAATCAAGATTAGAGCCCCGGCTGGTGTGGCTCAGTGAATTGAGTGCTGGCCTGTGAAGCAAAACATCACTGGTTCGATTCCCAGTCAGGGCACATGCCTGGGTTGCCGGTCAGGTCCCCAGTAGGGGGTGTGAGAGAGGCAAACACACAGATTTTTCTCTCCCTCTCTTTCAACCTTCCTTCTCCTCTCTAAAAAATAAAATAAAATCTTCTTTTAAATATAAATAAATAAAAATCAAGATCATCATGTAGAAACTTGAGTTTCTGTGTTCTCCTGGGAGAGAAAAAAATAAATAAAGCAAAATCAGCCCACAGCAATCTGCTGGAGCTCAGTAGAGACTGCCCCTTAAAACAAGACATAGTTTTTCTTGTTTGCCATGATCTCTGCCCAGCCTACTATGTTCCTGTACTTTAGCTTCCTGGCCTTTGTTGGCATGTAAGTGTGTCACCCTGATTATATTTGTAAGTTGTGCACGTGTGAGTGAAAGTTGCAGTCGACATGCTCTAATCATTTCTTTCTCTGCCCTCTTCTTTCTCTTTACTGTCTCCTTTCCCCTCCCTCTTCCGCTGCCTCTGTCATTTTACAGGTTCTGGGACTGCTGGTATGGACACTTATCGCTGGAACTGAGTACTTTCGAGTCCCTGCGTTTGGCTGGGTCATGTTTGTAGCAGTCTTTTACTGGGTCCTCACCATCTTCTTCCTCGTCATCTACATAACGATGACCTACACCAGGATCCCCCAGGTGCCCTGGACAACCGTGGTAAGGAAGCCGGGCACTGCTCTTGTCCACTGCCCACCAGGGAGGACGGACTGTTGTCCTCCTCGGGCCGGTTTTGCATTTACTGTAAGCGGTCAGGAGGCACCAAGCTGCTCCTTCAATGACAAATTTCCTCTGCTCAATATCCAACTTCATAGCTTGCAAATTCTCCTACAAAACGCTGGAACACAGTTCAGCCAAGTTCTCTGCCACTTTATAACAAGGATCACCTTTCCTCCAGTTTGCAATGACATGTTCCTCGTTTTCACCTGAGACCTCAGTAGAATTGCTTTTAACACACATACTTGTACCGACATCCTGTTTATGATTATTTATGTACTTTCTAAGGGGGTAGGGGCTTTCTCTCCAGCTTTCCTCTTTTCTTTCTGAGCCCTCACTAGAGTCGCTGCCAACGTTCATGTTCCCAGCATGCACCTCTCCTCATGGTCCAGCCCCACCCAGAGCCTTTCTAGACCTTTTGGTATGTATCATAGTAGCCCTCCACTCTGGGTTCTAGAATCTGTCTGCCCCACTCTTACCACCAAATTCCATATTGGCCAGGGTCCTCTAAAGGAGCCAAAGCAATAGGATGTGTATGTAGAAGGGTATAAGGAGCTTTATTGTAAGGAGTTGGTTTACGTGACTGTGGAGCCTGAGAAGTCCCGTGATCTGCAGTCAGCAAGCTGGAGACCCAGGATGGCCGATGGTGTAAGTAAACTCTAGTCCAAAAGCTGGAAGGCTCAAGCCCCAAGAAGACCCCATGTTTCCTTTCAAAGTCAGGGAAGTCAAGTTCAAAGTCAGGAAAAAAGATCCATGTTCCAGCTCAGAGCAGTTGGGCAGGTACAGTTCCCTCTTGACTCACAGGAGCATCTGCCTTTTTGTTCTATTCAGGCCTTCAACTGATTGCATGAGATAAATTGTCAGGGCCCCCAGCGGGGAGGTAAATGGGGAAAGAACGCCTCCTACTCACCTCTCCACCACCCCGCTGTCCCCACTTTGCTCCAGGGGAAATAGGAGTTCCTCATTTCCTTAGAAAAATGGATTGGGCCACAGTTAACAAGGGACAGGGTCATGTACTCAGGAAGTTCACAAGTCATACAGCTGGGGAGTCTTCTCCCCATTTCCTCTCTGGCCCCCTCATCCACGCAGCTATGCGGGCAAGACCCGGGAGCAATCTCAGTGCGTCATGGCGTCCTGGCCAGGTGAGCTCTCTTCAAACATTCTCTCGTTCATCTTGATCCCCTTTATGGGGACTGGATATGCATGGGTGCCCCAGAATATGTGTTCAGACATGTTCATTACAGTAGTGTTTATAATTCTAGAAATACTAGGAACATCAGTTAGACCATGAAGTATTAGCACCAATGGTGTGGCTCCACTTTGGAGTGTTTGCCTGTGTCCCAGCCGCAGGGGACGGCGTGGAAAGGGAGGGACTGGCCTTCACTCCAGATTGTTCTGTCTGACTGGATCTTGTTTGGGTATGATGAACACACATTACCTGTTAAAAACACGCACACATTTTAATGTTTCAAAAGTAATATATGGCTAGTTTATTAAAGAGAAAATAAGTTTAACCACCTGTAAAAGGATGCACAGTGAAAACTACAGTTTTCTACTCCCAGAGGTAACTACATTGAACTCCTTCTGCGTTTTAAAAATGGTGGGGGGCCCTTCACTTGGCAAATAGCAAATGTGCAAAGCTCAGGAAGTGATGTGCAGTTTTTTACTTAAACAAGTAAAGTTTTTAAAAATGCACACATGTATTCCTGGAACACCCTCCCTCCAAAAAAACCCCACCACCAACAAGCATACTGAGTCATCCAGAGAAACCAGGGCTTTCTGGGGACACCTTTCTGATGGTAGACGAGCACCCGGGGTGGCCCAAACCCTGAGGCTGACCCTGCTCTGACAGGTGAATCACCCTAACCCAGGAACAATGTGAGCAAAGTGTGGAGGTGGTAACAGGGGTACACAGCCTATTTCTCAATGCTGGAGCCTGAATCTGGAAAAGTCTACGTGCCTTCATTTTCTCTGAGAACAAAAAGATACCGCCTCCTCCCCCTTTCCCTACCCATCTGTGTGTCTGAATAACAGCGGGATTGGCGTTAGACCTCAGGGACCCTACTCCTTGGGAGTCACCCCCTGCCCTCCCCCCTGTGTGAAGCATTGATTTTTCCACACCCTTCCCCCTTGTTCAGATACGAACAAGCTTTGAACCTTTTCAGGGTGTGGTTTCCTAGAGTTTACGTATAACTGAAAACCAAATACTACTTGGAGTTACATATCTCCCTTCCCTAAGAATAGGGGAAAATAAAGCCATGGGTGAGATCACTTCCCAAAGGGTTCTATTAATGTGTATAATCTCCTTTTCATATTTAAGAACCCGCAGCGCCTTGAGGAGCTCACTTAACTGCCCCTCCCTGCCTAGAGCGAGGGGTCAGAAAATCAGCCGGGCCTGCTTTCGGGGAAGCTCCCCTCTGCCAGGGCAGGTGCTGAAGGGTGTGGCTCCTGCGGCGGGGGTGGGGGTGGGGTGGGGTGGGGGGGCATAGCTGAGGCACATCTCATTGGTGGTACCTTCCGCCATCTTCCTTCCTCAGCCAGTATGTCACCATGGCTGACATTGGAAGAAACGAGGGTCAAGAGCAAAATGAGAGAGACAGAAGGCCCTGGGGGGGCGGCGGGCAACCTGGGTGTGTTGGGGGAGGAGGGGTGTCTGGGTGTGCTGTGAGTGAGATGGTGTAGAACCCTCTCCTCCCCAAAACACAGATGAGCTGCCTTCTCAGAGCCCATGTCCCCTGCCCTTTCCCGGGTACCCGGATGAGCTCCTGGCCGCATCCAGGGTGCAGTCCTGGCCATGTATGTGGTTCAGAGGTGCCCAGACCTCCCCACGCTCCCTAAACCCTCCGCCCCTCTGTCTCCCCCAGGGTCTGTGCTTCAATGGCAGCGCCTTCGTCTTATACCTCTCGGCCGCTATTGTGGATGCGTCCTCCGTCTCCCCAGAGAGGGACAGCCACAACTTCAACAGCTGGGCCGCCTCGTCGGTGAGTGAGCCCTCTCACCCGCCCCCCACGATCACCTCCTTCCTCCCCAGGCCCTCTGGGGATCAGGAGGAGGACAAAGTCGTCCCGGAAAAAGCACCACCTGCAGCATGACACATGGGCAATGAGCTTTCGGTTTGAAAGCTTTGTAAATTGGCGGGGCCCCGATGGCCCGAAGTGCAAAGAGGCTGAAAGACTCTGCCTGAGTGAGAGCCAAATGTCTGGAACCAAACAAGTATTTGAGGGAGGAAAAAAAAGCCTTTGAGGCATTCTAAGAATAACCATACTGACTGCATTTCAAGTGGGGAGACTCTTGCAGAAAATGAACACAGTGATGCTATTTGCTTGTTTTTTTTTAAAGATTTTATTTATTTTTAGAGAGGGGAAGGGAGGGAGATAAAGAGGGAGAGATACATCAGTGTGTGGTTGCCTCTTACGCATCCCCCTACTGGGGACCTAGCCTGAAACCCAGGCATGTGCCCTGACCTGGAATTGCACAAGCGACCCTTTGGTTCGCAGTCCAGTGCTCAATGTACTGAGCCACATCAGCCAAGGCTGCTTGTTTGTTTTTGTTTTCTTTTAAGTAGAAATGTTTGATTATTCATTGAGAATGCTTAGAAAAATATACACCAACAGAGGAGTCCCTTTGGGGACTGTGATTGGATGATGACTGTGGAATGAGGGGCTTCTACTTTTTATTGGGTTGGCCAAAAAGTCTGTTTAGTTTTTTCTGTAAAATAAAAGACATATGTTTCATTTTCACCAATAACTTTGTTGATTTGGATATATTGAGTACGTCAGCTATCTCCCACTGTTGGCTTCTGTGGGTAGGGACCAGGGGTGCTGCTAAACATCTTCCAGTGCATAAGACAGCCCCCCAGCAAAAAATTCTTTGGCCAAAATGTCAATAGTACCAAGAAACTTCATGGACCACTTTTAACACATTCAATCAGTCACAGCACCTTCTCCATACACTGTACAAATCTTTTTGTGTATGTTTCAGTTGTGTTTTTACCTTTCTTGAAATAATAAAGCATAATATACTGAAAATGTTGCATATATTCTCCCACCTTCAATATTAAAATGGCTGCACAAAAATTCACCAATTTCAATACTTTTTTCATACATGCTGCTACGACAGCTGTCACAATACAGTCGAACAAAATTGTTTCAAACGAAGTTAAACACAACTAAACGCTGCTAGAGCCATCGCACGGAAAAAACTAAACCAACTCTTTGGCCAACCCAATAATTAGTTTCTGTACCGTTTGCATTTTTAAACCATGAATGTGTATTGTTTTTCTAACTTAAAAAACTGATTTTAAAGGTTTGTTTCATATTGGCTGTACAGTATTCCATCCGCAAAAGCAGCGTTGGGGAGGAGAAAGGGGGTGGGAGGGAGCAGCTAGACAGGAATGCCGAAGTGATGGTGTGAAAGCTGATTGACGATACAGGGGTATTCATTATAGTTTTTACTTATATTTCAAAGTTACTGCTTAAAGGGGGCAAGCATGGGGCACATGAGATTAAAAATCAGAAGCTTTGGCAGCACTGGACTCCAGTTAACACGTAGCAAGAATCCGCTGGCGCTGGGTGGAAGTGGCCCCGCAAGAGGGGCCTGCGTTTTCCAACTCACCATTCTCACCGCACACGCCCTGTTGGCTCCTCTCTTCCTCCCGCCCGCTCGATTCAACTTGGTTAACTGACCCTGTGGCAATCTGAGGTCAAGCCCTGGTCTAAAATTGCCTGTACAGTGGTCCCCCATTATCTGAGGTTTTGCTGTGTTCAGTTTGTTATCCACAGTCAGCCGCAGTCCAAAAACATTAAATGGAAAATTTCCAGAAACAAACAATTCCTAAGTTTTAAATTGCACGCCATCCCGAGTGTTGTGATGAAATCTTGCACCATCTTATTCTGTCCTGCCCGGGACATGAATCATCCCTTTTGTCCCTCATATCCACACTGTATAGGCTCCCTGCCCCTTACTTAATATTGCCTTCTCTGTTATCAGATAGGTTAACAGAGAGAGAACACACTCACAGAACTTTTGTTACAGTATATAGTTATAATTGTTCTATTTTGGTATTAGTCATTATTGTTACTCTCTTACTATGCCTGATTTATGAATTAAACTTTATCATAGGCATGTGTGTGCAGGGGAAAAACAGCATATACAGGGTTTGGTACTATCCGTGGCTTCAGGCATCCACTGGGGGTCGTGGAATGTATCTCCTGTGGACAAGGGGGGACTGATGTACCCCCTAAATTAGAAATACATGTGCTCTTCTCAGATGCACTCCCCCACGTTCACCCCTAAGTGACTACCCCAGGGTTATTTGAGCAGAACTGTAGGCTTTCCAGATAGGGTCCAAAGAAGAAAAACAAGATAGCCCGAAATCGTTTCAGAAGGAAGGTAATTGAACCAATAAAGCAGTTTTCGATGAGAAGGCCTGGAGTCGAGGGATGCTGAGGGCGTGAGTCGGTGGGGGTGAGTGATCATTTTGCTAATTAGCATGTGCCCTAAACCCCTTTTCTGTTATGCTTTTTCCCTCCAGTTTTTCGCCTTCCTGGTCACCATCTGCTACGCTGGAAACACATATTTCAGCTTTATAGCTTGGAGATCCAGGACCCTGCAGTGATTTGCCATTCCGAGAATTAAGAGGGGGAGAAAAGGAAGAGTCTCACTGTAAAAACAGCTGTAGGTATAATGTATATTTCCAGAGAATTATATTTAACTAATGTTTTTATATACTTAGTTAAATTTCGCTCCATGGTTTGTTACAATTAAACTAGATACGTGTTCGCAAAGTGCTATAGGTTATAATGACCTCTTAAAGATCTTGCTGGTGTCTTCATACACCTTATCATTATTTTCCTAGACAATGTATAAATGGATAAAATGCTAATATGAAGAAAGTGTCAAGTTTGTAAACCTAACTTTTAAAATGCCAGATTTTTTTTTTTGATTAAATGTTTCAAAATCTTGAATAACATTTTATTGATTTGAGAAAGGAGACCTGTGGCCAAAGGCCAAGGCGGGGCACTATGCTTCATTCTCTCAGGGCTGTGCAGGTACCATGTTGCTAGGAGACACTTGTCTGTGGCCATTAGGCTAGGGTGATAGGAGAGAGCCATCTTCCCAACTCGGGGATCATTGGTGTCTGCGATTCTCACCTGCCAACCAGTAGACCCAGGGAGCATCTGATGAGACATTGGCCTTAGAGCTTGGTAGTGAGTTCTCCCTAAGTGGTGCTGCTGAGTCCAGTGACTGCTGCACGAGTGGCATTTTTCTAATGATATTAAAATCAGTGCATAATCATTAAGAGGATAAATACTTGCATGTACCTTAAAATCATCTGGCTGACCACAGTGGCACATGTACCATATTCTGTGGGAAATACGGGACCAAAAGTTCTCAGAGCTCTGGTGTCCAGCAATGATACTTTGTAACATTGTTAGATGTTATCAGACGGGGGGGGGGGGGGACCCCGGGGGGGACCCCCAGCCGGCAAGGCAGATGTGCACTCAGAGGAAGTATTATCAGGCAGGATGGTTCTTCCAACAGCAGTGTATCTTGGGTGATTTTTCAACATGAGCTTCTTTTTGAAAAACAAAAAACCACAGAAACGTTAGTGTAGCTGATGACAGCAAAGGAAGTTTCAGCCTGGTACTCACTCTGTGGACGCGCCCCCTGAGGCCCCTGCTCTGGTCGGACAGACCTATTTTTTTCTGTTGTTTGTGTCATCTTCCTATTTATGGGAGTCTAACTCCTTATCCGAGTTCTGCCTACCCCTGTCCGGGAGAGTCTAACGTGTCTCTTACGTGTTATTCCTTACATGTCTAACAACACCCACCCCAGACCTTGGAAAGAAACAGTAAGGAATGTCCTTGAGTTGTGGGTCCAAAGAGGTAGTGGGCAGGGGGGCACCGCAAATGAGAGGCAGGTGGGGTGCGGATGTGTGGGGAAGGGCGGGTGCTGGGGGCTCAGGGGGCCGTGAAGGTCGAGCACATCCATGCAGACCTGCGGGTGATCGGCGCTGCGATCTCTTTGGAGCCGCATTCCCAGTCATCACCGAGACAGCCTGTGACTCGCTCATTTTGCAAGAAAAGCAGAGACAGCCCATCAGAGTTTGGGTGCTCTGTTCTGTTTATCACTCACACAGAGGCATATTCATCTTCCATGTACTCCATGCATTTTTTAAAGTACTTTAGATTGCAATCAAGTCTCAATAAAAGGCAGAAAAACTGTAACCTACAAAGATCTGTTTCTGGAAACAGTCATCAAGAAAGAAGCCTGCTTTTACGTCTCTCTCTTCTCTCTGTCTCCCCGCGTGGGTGTGTGACTTCTATAATCCTGCCTGCATTCAAGGAAGCAACCTCTGGGGTAAAGTGTTCCATAAACCGCTTAGAGATATATTCCAAATAGATGACAAATATAGGTCTTTCTGGAGCCGGTAGCGCCAAGCAGACCTATTTCGAGAGAACAGTGACTTGATTGTGTCCTTGCAGGGTCACTTGCTGTCCTGTCTCTATCTGTGGTTTTTCAGGACCATGACCCTGTGTGGTGCTCTGAGAGGTCACCAAAACACAGTGCTACACAAAACAAACAAACAAACAAACAACCCCAGCATGTATTTTTAACCGAAAGGAAATTATTATTTCCTCTTTTGACTACCAAGAGACTTTAAGTGTGGGTTTTTAGACAACAAAATGAGGGTTGTTCAGATGAAGCAGTAAGATTTGAACTGTGCTTCATTCATTTTTCTCTTAAGGAAGAAAGAAAACACAGAGCCACCTGCCCCACAGCCAGCCTAACCAGAAGAACAGGTTTCTGGAAAAGGGTGGAAGAGGGATGGTCTGTATGTGCTTAAACTCTCCTCTGCCATCTGCGAGCACCGTGGGCATTCACCTCGCAGCCCTTCCAAAACCAGCACATTGCTCTGATGGATTCGGGGGGTTTCAGTTTGACGTATTGGCCCACTCGTGGCCAATCAATGAAACGCTTTAAGCAATTCATCCTTCTCCATTGCTCCATTTCCAACTCAGAGCCCCCAAAGGTAAATATTTAGCCCCTATTTAAAAAAAACTACAAGAGAAGCTGGAGATAAGAATGTTCAATATCAGTTATTTCTGGGCATCTTTAAATCGCATCCTTCCTAGGAAAGTCCCTTCCGGGTATCAGCACACCAAAGATTTTACAGACATAAAATATCTCTGTGTAGAGCACAGGCCATTAAAAACACTAACTGAAGATGCAGCCCCGGGTAGAAGAAAATCAATTTTAGAGTTTCTATTTCTGTCGCCTAAACAACTATTATTTTAGCTGAATGATGATTTTTCACACAAAAAATAATCTGGGCGTATCAGGCTAGGTGCCCACAGACACACCGGAAAAGGTGATGACCCAAGAGGCATTTAACTTGGCCTCACGAGAAGGTTCTCCTGCCAGCAGGCTGCCAGGTGCGAACTGGAAGCCTACAGCTGGGAGGGAAGGTGAGGTAAATGGGCCAGTGTCAGTGACTTAGGACAATTGGGAAGATCCGACTGCAGATAGCGATGAGTTGGAGAGTCAGTAAATTAAGGTGTGAGGTGTGTATGTAAAAGAAGATAGATAGGGTTCCAGGGAACAGGCTCGGCCGCACAGAGGTGGTGGCTTTGCAGACACTTAGGAATGAATGGCCAAGGGCGGGAAAGATGTTGGCTGCGGGAACGCTTCATTCGGAAGGTACTTTTGAGAAACACCCATGTCCGTGGCAGGTTTTTCAAATAATACACAGAGTGAGCAAATCCAGAATGCGGCAGACCTTGCCGCTGCCTCTGCCACACCACTTTTCCGTTCCTCCTGTTCTCTAACCACTGTGGTTTCTACTCAGTGTCTCCACCACCCACTTATGCGCCAGGTCCTTCCTGGAAGCCAGCGCCACTGTGACTCTAGGAATGGAGCATATGGCTCGGCTGGAAGTAATTCTACCCCCAAGCCCCGCTGATTGGTTCAGGGGTGGGTGTGTGACCCAAGGCTTGCTCAGAAGTTCTGGAAAAGGAGTTCTGAGGACAAATGGATGCAGGAAGTTGTTGGCAATATATTGTGACCACAAGGGGGAGCCAGCCATGGGGTAACAGCAACAAGAAGGAAGAGAAAAGAGGGGAAAAGTAACTCCATCCTGATTACATTCACCGAGCCATTGCATTCATTCAGCCCCTTGTCGACACACTCTGGGCTCTGCAGTCACCTGAGCAATCATACCTGCTTTGCCTCAACTAACTTCTGTTACCTGCAACAGCATATCCATCCTAACCAATACACAGGACATCCTGGCAAATGGCTTTCAAGCAACGGCATAAAATATCGGTTCCCATTTACTTTCAAATAGTAAGCCACCACAGGGCCTTCGGTAGATGACAGTAATGGTGGGATAAATCCACTTTAGCACCAGGACTCATTGTCAAAAGAGAGGTTTCTAAAAATGGGAAATTTAGAGTTCACTGCCATGCCTGGCATGACTCAGTTGGTTGGGCTTCATCCCACAAAGCCAAAGGTCACTGGTTTGACTCCTGGTCAGTGCACACGCCTGCCTATGTTGTGGATTTGGTCCACAGTCGGGTTGCAGGCAAGAGGCAACCGATTGATGTTTCTCTCCCTCACTTTCTCCCTTCTTTCCCCCCTTTCTCTGTCTCTCAAAAAAAAAAATCCACTTGAGAGAGTGATTCAACCTTCCTGATGCTATTGTTTAAGGGCGGTGATAGCACGAAAGATTCTAAAAAGAGCAGTAGCTGGAACGATGGGTTCTCAGAGGAATTTCTGTGATCTGACTGGTCACTGCAATGGGAAAGCTCAGTTGAAGAGGGAAACACGAAACCATCTGGCCTCCAACCATTTTAACTTAAAGAGAACTCCACCTTCTGCCTCAAAGACAGACAGTCCCTCCTGAAAAGCCACTCTCCTCTCTGGCAGGAGGTCAGCCATTAAGTGCCAACCAACATTGACCCTGTTGGGGTGAGGGTTAACCCTAAACTCCTAACAAAAAATAAAAAGAGCTTAGAAATAAGTCAAAGGTGGTGCATTTTTTTAATCAAATTAAAACTGTAATGAGAGGCTATGCCGCACCCTCTACAATGGCTAAGATTGAAAAGGCTGCAGTACCAAGTGTTAGCGAGGCTGCGAACCGTTGGAATCCTTGGACATGGCTGGTGGGACTGACGGTTTTCATCCACAAGCCCATGTTTCATAAAGTTGAACGTGCATTTCTAGTCCGACCCAGCAATCCCATTCATAGGTATTTACTCAAACGCGTCCACAGAAGGACTCGTGCAGGAGTATGCACAGCAGTTCTATTCATAATGGGCCCACACTAAACACACCCCAAGTGACTGTCCCAGCGGTGAACAGACACGCGGCGGTGTAGTTGTACAAGGAAATACTGCCGACGATAAAAAAGGAGCGAACCACGGGTGCCTGCACCAGTGTGGACGAGTCACCAAATCAGTGTATTGAGTGAAACAGGCCAGACCAAAATATACGTTTGGTTCTAGTTACATGAAGTCCAGGGAGAGGGAAGACAAAGCTGGAGGGACAGGAAGCTGGCCGGTGGTTGCCTGGGGTGGGGGTGGACGGGACGGCTCGGGAGGGGCAGGGGGAGCGTCCTGCAGTGGGAGAAACACTCTCCGTCTCAACGGTGGTGTGCCCATACCTTCGTGTGCCCATACCTTGCGTGTGCCCATACCTTGCGTGTGCCCATACCTTCGTCAGAATGCACACACTGTTTCCTTAAAGTGGGTGCATTTTATTTTGTGGAAATTACACCTTGATAAAGTTGGCTTTTAAAAGAAAAAAAAGGTGGCATATTTTTTAATGTTCACGACAGCCCTTCTCCCACCCGCCATGCTGTCGGAGCGGTTACTGCCGCCTCTCTCCCATCTGGTGTGTGACGTTCTGCAGTCGGGACGGTGGGTTTTCATTCCTGGCTCCCTGCTGGAGCTCAGCACACTGCGTGGAACAGAGTATGTGTTCAGTAAACACCTACTGTGGTGAGGAGTCCCAGAAGACCGAAGGATGAGATAAACCTATAGCGAGGGCGAGCCTGAGTGTGGCTGAAACCGGAGCTGTCAGAATAGGGGCTTGCCCAGGAGATGTGGGGGGTGGACGGGTGGATCTAGCCACGGGAGGGTTCTGGGCATTACAGAGGGGCCTGCAGGTGAGGAGCTGAATCTGTGGGTCCATTTACGGTGCTTGGAAATAGGTTGTGGAGTGTCAGAAAAGTGCTTCATAAAAGACCTACCAGGTGGTTAGTGAGCTCGGTACCTGGGAAAACACACAACTGCTGATTGGTTTCCGGAACATGTGAATGACCAATCACCTAACAACCTCCAACCACTTAATGATACAGTATGAGGTTGAACCAAGTGAAATAGCCAATATTTGCCTCTTTGGCCTACGAATATGGCAATTTCATCTGATTGAACCTACCTTTTTATACCTGACTAGTCAGTTTTCAAACGTGATGTCAGTTTGAAACATCTTTGCCTTAGATAAAACAGGGGGCCACAGCCTCATTTACCTGATGAGGACCACTGAGTCTCCACTAAGTGGCCAGTGACTTGCCCAAGGTCGCACAGCGAGTGATGAGAACAGCTTGGGCTGACGCGGAGGTCTTCTCACTCCTGGGCCCAGCTCCTCTGCCGGGCTGATGGAAAGCATCAGTCCTGTGAAGAGAGGAACCAGGTGAAAACTATACACACAGGGTGTGGGATGAAGTGGTACAGCACTTCCAGAAATCTGTTTGGCGATACGTATGACGAGCCTGGAAAAAATATTCATTCCCTCGGACTTGGGAATCTCTCTTTTAGGAATCTAAGATTCACGCACAGTGGTGTTAATCCTGGTCTTATGTATAACAATTAAAAATAAAGAACAGGATCAGCCTGAAACCCTCACAGTAGGAGAATGTTTAAACAATTAAACCCACCGAACACGACTTTAGAAATTAATGCACTACCACCCACGCCCGCGCCCAAACATATCCAGAATCAGAATTGGTTAGCAACATCATTGATGACTTACTGTCTCTTCTGAACACACTTCTCAAGCTGTGCCGAACCACAGTTGCAAGAATGGTGATTAAATGGAAGATCGGTGGTCTGAGTGCTGTCTTTCTAAAAATACATAATGGAGAAAAGTAAGTTGTACATGCGCGCAAAAATCGATGCTGCCGCCAAACACTGTGAGGAATTTTTCATAGGAAATGTTTGTGGTATAACTGGAAGTTTACAAAAGGCAGAGCAGACCCAGTTGTAAAGAGTGCTGGGATCATGGGGTAGTTTTTGTTTTCTTTGTTTTTCTGAGCCCCGACCCCAATTTTCTTCTATGAGTAGGAGGAAATAGATTCATGATCAGGAAATAACACCTATTTTAGAATAAAAGACAAGAGAAGGCAGTGGTTTCAGCAGATTGGAAAAACCAGCATCCTCACTATTAGTGGGAAAAGGTGGACAAGTAGCCAGAGCAATTGCATGAAAACCATTCAAGGGACTCGAGCCATTGCCTCTGTCTCCTCTTGAAGGGAGTGTAGACATCTTTGGCCATCATTTATCCCATTTGTGAAAGGTTTCATGGATAAATTAGGAAAGAGAGCCTCTCCTCTCCTCCCCTCCTCTCCCCCCTCCTGAGAACTTCCTAGAAGAAATACCAATTGTGGTAGAAAACATTAGCACCAGAAGGTAATCATTCCCTACATTTATATGTTCTTTTATTACCTTTCTTAACATTTGCAAATACATTTCTGTTTGGACCTCAAAGACAAGTGGTATCAGCCCATTTCACAAATAGGAACACAGAGGTTGATCAAAAATTCACTGGAAAAGGATGTAAAAAGCAGCTCCTGGGAAAGTGTCATGGAGACCTGCTGCTTCTGCCTTTCTGTCTTAGCTTGGGCTGTGGTAACAAACCGAATGTTGCGTATGCTGGGTGCCTTCAATGACAGAAATTTATTTCCTCACAGTCCTGAACCTGGGCCGTCCAAGGTCGGGGTGCAGCCATTGCGGGCTCTGGTGAGAGGGGTCTTCCTGGCTTGTAGATAAGCCGCCTTTGCCGTAAGAGGGGGAGATGGGAGGGGAGAAATCAGGTGTTTCTTATAAGGGCACTAGAGCCATTACGGAGACTCCACCCTCCTGACCTTACCCAACCTTGGGCCTCATCTCCAAAACAATACACTGGAGGTTAGGACCTCAACATTGGGATTGGGGCAGGGGTACATATTCACTCCATAACACTGCCAAATATTCAATCCCTTTTCTGAGATCTGCACCCTAGTTTTTTGGGGGGAATCACCCCTCCCCCACTCAGTTCCTGTGGTTCTAGAGAACTACTCACCCCCAGCTCTATGCCCAAATGGACCTTGGCCTGTCCAATAGAAGTGGTCCACCTCTCTGGATATAATGATTGGTTGAAAGGCAGAGCCATGACCCATATTTGGACCAATGTAAAGTCCTGGACTAAATATCCCCCTCTTCCATGAAATTCATGTGTTGAAACCCTAACCCCCAATGTAACTGTATTTGGAGATGGGGTTCTAAGCTAAGAGGAAGAAACACCATATTTCTCTCTTTCTCTCTCTCTCTCTCTCTCTCAACTCAGAGAAGGGCCATAGGAGGAGACAGTGAGAAGGTGCCTGTCTACAAACCAGGAAGAGGGGCCTCACCAAGAAATCAACCCCAGTGGCACCTTGGTCTTGGACTTCTAGCCTCCAAAACTGAGAGAATAAATCTGTTGTTGGCACCTCCCAAACTGTGATATCTAGTTACAACATTTTAAGCAGGTGAACACTGTGCCAGAAGCACTGGGAGCCAGGTACGCTTATAAAGAGAAGGGATCATTAGCCCAGGGGAACTACATGCTGCCAGACGTCAGGAGAGAGCCTGCCTGAGAGAACAGCTAACCCTGCAGGGTCTGAAACCATGAGGCAGAGGTCCCGACTGCCCAATTTGAGGACCTAGATCCCACTGTGTCTGAAGTAGGTTTCCTGTCTGCATTCCCCAGTTATTCACAGTTGCATGAGTCATTGCATTCTTTTTGCTTGAGTTTTGTCACTTGCACCAACTAATACGGAGTTAACTCTCATCATTATATCTGACCAGATATGTCATCCTAATCACACTGGTGTAAATGAGTTGTGGTCAGACAGCGACACTAATTGAAGCCTTGGACACTGCACCCCCTCAGGGTAGGTGGATGGAGAAGAACTTGGAAATTCTTGAATTCTCACCAGCTACCTATCTGGCTTTTCCCCTTCCTGGGTATGAAATCTTTAAATGGGGCTATGCAGTTCTTTGCCCCCCAGGAGGCAGCCCCTCACACTGAAAAAGCATCACACCAATGTACACATCTCAGCGAACTTGGCAGCAGCTCTGATCTGGGGACCCTCTTCTTGAACATCAGGGCAGCACACGGCTCTTGTGCTGCCAAACATCTTGCTCAAGCTCTCACATGGTCGTGATGAAGTGATTAACACAAAGTGACCACTACCAGTTGTTATTTCCTATCTGTGCTGGTGACACATTAGCCAACAGCCGTCAGAGAAACCCAGCAAAGTTTCAAGTCCAGTGAGCTCAGGAAATGACAGTGGCCTCGTAGTCCAGCATGCATCTGAATCTGTGGGAGGTGGGGAGGACTTAGCAAAACATGGCTTGCTGAGCCTCACCGCCAGAGTTTCTGATTCAGCAGTTCTGGGTGGGGCCCAAGAATTTGCATCTCCCCCAAGTTCCCAGGTGCTGCTCTGGTCTGGGGAGCATACGTTGAAAACCACTGATTTAGAAGGTTGTTGCAGGATGGGATGAAGGCCACGCGGTGGAGGAGAAATTATCCAGTGCTTGGTTTTTCTGCTTCCCTGAACCTTCACGCCAGCAAAGACTCCCTACTGTCTCCACTGTGGGGTTTTTGAAGCCTGGGACAAGGACAGGAGTGAAAATGTAAAGCTACATGACAAATAATCCACAAGGCCAACGTCATGCCTGGGGGTGCAGAGCTGGAAATAGAGAATTTCTGCGTGGCTGTGGCCCTGTCCCAGCAGCTGCTAGGAGCAATTATCATTGTTTCACAGAGGAAGAAATGGATGGACCAGGTGACTGCTGGCTATCTAAAGAAAAAACAGATATCTGAGGCAGTTTGGGTGGGGAGTCATGAAAACTGACAATGTCTCAACTTTGGCAATGACTGATTCTCAGACTTGAGTGTTCACCAGAATCACCTGAGAGACTTTGTCAAAACAGGTTGCATGACTATCTCCACATTCTAGAATTATAAAGACTGCCACATTGATGACAGTCTTCTGATGATGACGGAACAGCCTGGCACCCAATAATCTCATAAAGGAGATTTTTAAATATTAATGCCAAAAAAGATACAAGTTAAGAACTTAAGAGTTAAAGATTAAAACAAAAAGATTTTATAGCCTTAGTTATAGTTGATAGCTTAAGTGATTAATGCATGCAGAAGCTGTGGTTTCAGGAACTGGAATGTAGGACCTGTGACTCCAGGAGGTCACAAGCAATTTGACCTTTGTGCCTGAGGGTGTCTGCAAGTAGCTGATGGAGATGGTATCTCAGCTCCTGTGTTCTAGGGTGGGAACTTCTGCAATACAGATAAAGAGTTGATCAGCAGATAAAGAAGTACTAGGAAAACTGTTGCACGACTGCAACTCTTATCTGATTAACCTTTTTCCAAACCCCTTACCTACCCTTTCCTTCTCCCTATAAAAACATCAGCTTGAAATGAGATGTTAAGACTTGGGTTGTTTGGGGAGGGGTTTAGGGTACATAACCTGCTGTCTTCTCCGATTGCTGGCATCTGAATAAACTGCCCATGAAGATTCAATCCTTGTCTCTACTTACTGGTTCTGGTAGTGACAGTCAGCACAAATGCCAGCTTTTCTAGTTTCAGCCTGGCCCCAGGAACACTCTGCTAAAAAACACTGATAAAGATATCCCACTGGGGTAGTCCTGTTTGGGCCTGTTCATTTAAAATTAACCCAGATGGAACACAACCTAGTATATTCCTTGAATAACTGTTTGGCAGCTCCTAATGGAAGTAAACATGCTCACCATGTGGCCCGACAAATCCACTCATTGGTATTTGCCCCAAAGAAATGAGAGTTTATGCCCATCAAAAAAAAAAACAACAAAAAACCTTACCAGAATGTTCATCACAGCTTTATTGGGTGCAACAAGATGAATCTCAAATGCACTGTGTTGAGTAAAAAAAGTCAGATATAAATAAGATTACTGTGTATTATTTCAGGTATATTGTGGACCCTGAGAAAGGGCCCCTGGGGACTAACTGGACTCAAATTTTTTTAAAAAGAAAAACACAAGGACAAAAACCAAAAACCCCAGAGCTTACCAATCTTTTCTACACAGGGGCCTATCACACACACTATTTCAAGAAGCCTGCACTCAGCTGCCTGCCTTCTGCATTGAATTCCTGCCATTTGAGCCAGCCCTTACAAAGGAGTTCCTGGAACTGTATTTCAACTAATAGGAGTGAGGCTTTCCCCAATCACCATCTTCACCAACCAATCAGAGTGGCTCTATTCTGATCAATCAGGATAGTTTCTTTTGGACCAAACTCAGGATTTAAAGTCCTTATTTGCATGAGGATGGACCAATCAAGGACCAGGGTCAGGAACTCCTGTCTCTGTAAGTCAGCCCCACTCTGCCTCTGAGAGTATACTCTCCCTTTCTACTGAAGACTGGGGTTCCCTGGCTGGAACTGAAACAAAGTTGAAACACTAACGACACCTGGCAGAGCCAGAGTGGAGAAAAGCAGGCAGGAGAAGGCGGCGCAGAGGAGAACAGAGCACCCCTGAGGAGACAGGCATGGAGCAGAGCAGAGAGCTTGGAGCGGTCTTGCCTAGAGCACCCTAACAGCTATGTTGTTCACAGTCTTGCTGCTTCAGGATTGAGCTGTAACGCCATTGAGCTGTTGTTCCACAGCGCTGATGTATCACAACTGAGTTGTTGCACTGAACAGTTTCCTTCTTCACTGCACTCCAAATTGGGTTCTGTTGGCGTTGAACTGGCAGAACCATAGTGATAGAAGCAGACTATGTTGATACCTGAAGCATGGCAGAAAAAGGGGTGCAATGAGGAAAGGCAGACTAAGGAGGAGTAGGAGGGAACTTGGGGTATTGGCATGTTCTGTTTGTCGATCTGGGTGGTGTCTACACAGGGGTAGACACGGAAAAAGTTAAGGTTGTTGAACATGGGGGCTTTAGACATTTTAGTGTATGCAAGTTAAAGTAGGTTCTCTGAACACACATCCCCACCCACACACCTCCCCAGGAGGCTCAGACCCAGCTGTGGCCCCCGCCTTGCCCACTTCGGAAAGCCTTCTGCCCCCTCCTGCAGTACCTTTCCGGAAAGCGCTTGTCCTGCGCCTCCCTGTGGGGTTCACCACAGCTGGATGGGCGTTTCCCGCCAGGGCAGGGGACGTGTGCGCCCCGCCCTCTCTACTCGGCCCGCGGACCGCACACCCGCGATCAGGCCCCGCCCCCTGCCCCGCCCCATCCCCCGCCCCGCCTTATCTGGGCCCCGGGGTCCCCGGGCCGGGGAAGCGGCCGGCTGGCAGGGCCGCGCGATGTCGCACGGCGCTGGGCTCGTCCGCACCACGTGCAGCAGCGGCAGCACGTTCGGACCCAGGGCTGGCGGGGGACAGCAGGGCGCGAGCCCTTCGGAAGGTCTGCTGGACCCCGTCTACCCCCGCACCCATGGGGCCCTGCTGAAAGTGGCGCAGATGGTAAGAGAGGCGGGGCCGCAAGGCCGGGGTCACACGGAGTGGCCCAGGAAGGAAGGGATCGGGCCGGGAGGGGGCGCGCCGGGCGGAACCCGCGGGCGCCGCGCGCCGCGGATGGGGTTCGGCAGCGCCAAAGTTAAGTTGGAGGAAGTTTTCCTCCCCGAAAGTTGGCTGTGCAGCCCCCGCCGACTCGGAACGCAGCCCCTCTCCCAGGCCCTTGCTCCGGAGGACCCATCTCCAGGGTCCCGAGCTCTTCCAGCCACGCTTCTGCGTAGCCTCGCCCGCCTCCGGATAAAAACCGCGGGCAGAAGTTCCTTTAGCTCTTCCTCTTCTCTGGGCCGCGCCGCTTCGAACCCGAGCGGTTGGGGCGGAAAAGTCGCCCAGGCCGCGGCGCGGGCAGCGAAACCCGACCTCCTCTTCTGCCCGGCCTCCTCTTTCCTCCGAACCCAGCGCCCAGGGCTCCCCGCTCTGTGCGCACTTTTGCCCCCGGAAGGGAGTCCAGAGGTCTTGCGTTCCGGGGTGGGGGAAAAGAATTGGGACCCCGGGCAGCCGTCCTGGGCCCCCGTCCTCTCAAGTTCAAAGGGGTGCCCCAGGTCTTAGGGGACTGTGGAAGGCAGATGATCAATGAGGAAGGCCTGTTTTGGCGAATCCTTACTTATTTGGGGAAGGAGGAGTCGCCTGAATGCGGGTCACCTGTGGAGCCAAGAGGGCTGCGGGTCTGGGCTGAGTGGGACAGCGCAGGGGGTCTTCCAGGAGGGCAGATGTTGCCTGGCCTGTTCGCTTGTTCCCCACTCTTTTCTCCCTTCCATATTTTTCTTTAAAATATTTTCATCTTAAACACCTTTCCTGTTGTCTGTGTTTTGAAGCTGGGTTGGACTGGTCGTGGCTCTCTGCTCATTGTGATGTTTGCAGCGAGAATGGTGAAGAGGGAAGTGGCCGTTTTGAAGTGGAATGTGGAGAAAAGAATGTGGGGCTAGGAACAAGGTCAGAGCCCCAGAAGCTGGGCCTGCCGAGGGGGACCAGCCCCAGGGGTCTGGACACAGAGTGAGAGCTGCCCACGAATGCTTAACACTGTCATTCTGGTGTGTGTAGAGGGGGCTCTCATTTCCTGCTTGGCCAGATCTGAAGGAAGGGGACTGAATGCCCTTTTCTCTAAGAATGGCGTCTTGATTGACCAAGAATTAGGAAGTAAAGGAATGTTAGTTACTGCTAATGAAAGAAAAATTGTACTGAGCAATGTCGATTTCGAGCAAGGCCTTTTTGGGGTGTCTGATTAAGAGCGATCTGATCGGCCAAAAAGAGGGGACCAGTTTACCTCCCATCCTTAAAAATTGGGTGGGGTGGTACAGGCGAACCTGAGAACCAGAAGACATACCTGGGCAGAATGATGGTGTGCAAAGATTGGGATCAGGAGCATCAGTCTTGGTCTGTGAGTTTTATGGACAAAGGCAGTGGGGTGAGTAGGCTCCCTGACGGTCTATGCGTGAGGTGGACAAAGACTGGAGAAGAGAAACCTCCATTTCATTTTAAGCTCCTCAATTAGCTCCCGCCTGTGGCCCTTGTGGCCCTTGTGCCGGGTTGCAGGTGACATTGATGGGGCCTGTGCCAAAGAAGAGAATAGGACATGGAGAATTGCTCCTCTGTGTGCCCCGCACAAAACCTCACCCAGGGGATTGTCACTCCTCCTTCCTTCCCTGGGGAACTCCCGTGGCTGCAGGCTGATTTGAGCAGATTCCCCTGGGAGTGAAGTGGCCCCTGCAGCGTGGTCCTGTTACAACAGAGAGACTATTTGGGACTCTCTGCTTGGACCTCTCATCTGACTCCTCCCCATTCTCCTCTTTTCTGGGCCACCGGCTTGGGTATTGGGTGTTCATTTGTCTTCTCGGTGGGAAAACTCATAGCCACATTCTAGCATTGGGGGAGAGCAGGGGCAGTAGTGCCACCCTTAGGACACTCCATGGGTCTCTCATTTTGACCACTGATGTCTCACCTGTATGACCCTCTGTCCTGGATGTCCTCTACAGTGTTTTCATCATGGTCCCATCAATGGACCTACCTATATACAACCTTACGACATCCTCCGAAAGGCTCTTTCTTCCTTTGGAGAGCAGCTCCCTCTTTTTGCTTTGGGAATGTCAATTGGATACAGACAATTTGGCAAACCGGCTGGCAGTTAGTTTCTCAGACTATGAAACATAGAGCTGTCGTGTGATCCAACAATTCTGCTCCTGGGAGTATGTATACTCAAGAGACATGGAAACATGTCCACACAAAAATCTGTACACAAAGGTTCACAGCAATATTATTCATAACAGCCAATAGGTAGAAACAACCCAAACGTCTGTAAACTGATAGATGGATAAATAAAACGTAGCATATCCATATAATGGAATATTACTCCACAGAACGTGGAATAAACTACTGACACACACTACAGTGTGGCTGAATCTTGAAGACAAGATGGGAAATGAAAGCAGCCAGGAACAAAAGGCCACATAGTATGTGATTGATTCTACTTAGATGAAATGTCCAGAATAGGCCAATATGCAGAGACAGAAAGTGGGTTAGTGGTTGCTTCAGGCTGGAGGGTTTAGGAGTGATGGGGGTAGGTGGCAGGTTTCTTTCGGTGGTGATAAAAATGTTCTAAATTGATTGGGGTTTATGGTTGCACAATTCCGTGAATGTACTAAAAACCTCTGAACTATACACCCTAAGTGTGTGAACTGTATCTCAATAAAGCTGTTAAAAAGAAATGGATCTAGGGAAGAGTTTGGGGCTGGGGAGGGGATACTCTGCATGAAGCATTGGGTACGGGAAGGCCACAGCTACACCTCAGGGACCTCCCTCTGTGCCCCACCATGTCCGCTAGTAGAGGAAGGAATGTCCTCCTGGAACCTCAGAGAGTCCGAGCAGAAGCACCAGGTCTCCTGACATCACCTGGGTGCCTGAGGGGGCTGAGACCATGGAAGGCCGCAGGGTTTGGAGGGGTCCAGAGGCCCTTGCTTGTGTCCGTTCACCACCAGTGGGATCATTTATCCAGCATCCGTTTATGAGTGCCACGTTCGCTTCCATTTCTGCAGAAACAGGTGCAGGTGGCTGTGGCAAAGCCCTGGCTTCTCAAGAAATCTGAGTATGAGTTTGTCAGGTAGGGGGCGCCCCATTTACTTCTCAGGTGCTTTTGTTCAGTAGGGTTCAGGTGGAGAAAAGTGATGTGTTGGGGAGGGGCGTAGGTGAAGAGGAAGAAGATATAGCAAGACATGAGCCAATATTTGGGCAATTCTTAACCTTCCCGCCCTTAACACTTAGAAAGAGACTTTATCTTATTTATGGAATGTCCAGTATCTTCTTAACTTGGTGTGAGGCATGTAGAATATGGTGGTGAACAGGACAAGCCCTTTTGGCCTGTGCAGAAAAAGACTGACATTTGCAGAACACAGTAGGCAAGGATGTCGAAATGTCTACAGACATTCCACAGACAGCAAAGATGGAAACCTAAGTGTCTTCCAGAAGGTTCATTTATTTATTCAACAAATATTTGAGCATTTACTGCCTGCTAGGGCAGTATGGTGTCCTGGTAAACAAGACAGATCAGCCTCTGCCCCCCTTTGCTTTAATAGGGTAAACATTCGTCAACTAATTATAAATATGTAATTACCAACTGGGATAAAGGCTATGAGTGAGAGCTACTCAGTGACATAGAGAATTAGCCAGGGGATCAGAGGATAAGGAAGGACTTCTCTGAGGAAGAGATATTTGCAGGATGAGGGAACAGCATTCGTAGAAGAAGGAAGAGCACAGACATTAGCTCCGAGTCTGGAGGGCGAAGTGCTGCTGTGTTTGGAGTGGAGGGAACAGGGGCAGGAGAGGCTGCTTGGGACGGGAGAAATTTGCACCGGACTATCCGTGGTCTGCCAGACCATGGTGAGGGTGCCATCCCTAAAAACATCAGGGAAGCATTATGTCAATATTTACCCACCACTGAAATGGGGGTCATTTTGGAACTTTGTTGAAATCTCTTTGGGGATTAGGATCACGCTAGGTATCCATTTAACTCATTTCAGGATAGCAGTGAGACCATAGCAAATGCTGAATGTCTGAGAACTGTTTTGTCTGAAATACTGAAGGAGTGTAGCTAGGCTGGATGGAACCTGAGGGGGTGTGAGACTGGGGAGGAGCCCAGTTCCCAAATGCAATTAGACTGTGGCTGATGTCAGCCTCCCGGCCAGCCGTGAATGGACCGGTGGGTGGAAAATGACCTGGCACGACCCAGAACGGTCCACTCTTCTATGTTGTCTGGGTCTGTGTGGCAGGGGAGCACCAGTGTGGTTCCCAGAGGCAATCTGCACGCCCCTGTCCCATTTTCCGGCAGCGGGAGAGTTAAGGGCAGCAACCCCACTGCCAAGGTTCTTGGACGCCAACCCAGTCCTGACCTAAGAACATGGAAATACTTTCCATTACTGGTCAAACAAATAAAAATACTAAAACAAAGTAAGTTGCAGGCTTTATTCCTAATAACAAAGTAACAACCTGTTCATTGCAGAAACTTCGGGACACAAAGAAGAAGGTAGTAGACTCCCTCCCCACTGAGATTAATACTAAAGTAGAATTGTACAGTATTTCATAGCGGACGTATATAATTTGGATGTTTTGATCTTTGGGTTTTTTCCCTACAAAATGGCGATACTATATATATTTTGTAAAATGCTCTTTTTTTTTTTTTTGCTTAACATGTGAATGTTTTCTCGTGTCACTTAATGTTCGCCTGCAATTTGGTTGTTTTTTTTTTTTAAGATTTTATTTATTTATTTTTAGAGAGAGGGGAAAGGAGGGAGAGAGAGAGGGAGAGAAACAGCGATTGGCTGCCTCTCTCACGCCCCCAACTAGGGACCTGGCCTACAACCCAGGCCTGTGCCCTGACTGGGAATTGAACCAACAACCTTTTGGTCTGCAGGCTGGTGCTCAGTCTACTGAGCCACACCAGCCAGGGCTGCAATTTGGTGTTT